TCTTCAATACAAACATGTGTTCAAACAACTTGTTTATGAAGAAGAGTTACTAATAYTTTATTATCTTTAAACAATACCTTCTTTGTTTGCTGATAATAATTCCATATATCTTACAGCACCGCGTTGGCGTATTATTACATTATCTATACATACTATATATACATTACATATACATTATCATATAGATCAAATACTTTTTTTGATATTAGGAAAATTGGAGTTTATGTGTAGATGGCAACCTATTTAGCATACTAAATGTGACAAAAAATACCCGGATATTGTAAATACAACACAAAATATTTAATTATTTTTCAATATTTATTTTGTCGCCTTCAAAATATTCCCCACCAGATGTTATACATCTTTGCCAACGATTTTTCCAGTCCTCCTCCACTTTTGGACTGACCTTCAGAGTCTTCAGCGAATTGTGTTTTTTCTCTTTGACCCACTGAAAACTTGTTCCACGGAGCGCCAATTTCAGTTTGGGGAACAAGAAAACAATAACAAGGAACCAAATGTGGAGAATACGGTGGTCGATCGATGAAATCCATTGCGTTTTTGGCTATAAATTCGGTCGCAATCGTGACTCGATACGATGGTGCACTAATCCATGTTTGAAATCTATGAATTATTCTTCCACGATTTTCGATGGATGTTCTCACAGAAACGCTTTAATACGGCCAAATAGAAGACCTTATGAACTCACATTGAACAGTGTTTGCGTATTTTGTTTTTTCTCTTTATTCCCGTGATTGTAGACATGCTTGCATTTCAAATTCATAAACCCATATCATCATGTGGGATCGGAATTCACAAGAGACCCGTTTACGAYACTCTTTCTGAAAAGAACTCAGCTCACTTTCGACGGATGTTCTCATACAAACGCCTCAATAGAGTAAAATAGAAGTCTTTATTGACCGTATATTCCGCCGGAACAAAATCAAGGTGCATAAATCACGAATATCGAAAAAACAATGAACATMACCTTTGCGGCTTAGGCGTGTTTTTTTGGTATCGGTACGTTTTTTCTCTCCATTGTGATTATTGCTGACTTCTTCGGCTGTCAAACTCATAAAACCATATTTCATCACATTCATAGTGCTTCCCATGAATGTGGGATCGGAATTCGCACGATCACAAATTCGCTTTTCGGTAGCCGGGAGCCGAGCAAAAACGGGTTTCATACCACATATATCCAGCAAAATCATTGTAACGGATTCTTAAGTATTTTCTTCAGTTTAAGGGGTCGAAGATTGTCCAGAACGAGGCTTGTCTTCAACGACCTCTCGACCGTCTTTGAAGGCTTTGTACCACTCGTACACTTACGTTTTTGATAAATCTGAATCACTTTAAGCCTTTTCCAACATTTGCAACGATTCCGCACACTGAATTAGCTTAGAAATACAAGGTATTTGAGACAAATACTTTGTTCTATATATTAAGTCATTGTAAAAATCGCAATGCTTGATTTAAGTTTTTTTTTCTATACTTAAAAATGAGTATCCTAAGAAAACAATTCAATATCGAATTGAAGAGGCTGAAGAAAAAATGCAGTTTGGATATTAATATGATCTAGGTATCCAAAAAAAAAATTATTTTAGAATAATTCATATTGTAATAATTAGTCCTATAACACGCTTTCTTCTGTAGTATATCGTTATTTACTTCTTAACCAACTCTGGTTATCAGCAAAATTTATTCAAAGATTTAGGAAAAGAATAATGTTTATTATGCATTTACGGGAATTTTGTGTATTTAAAAATTTATGTAATCATTTAAATATGATATGTAGTTGCTATGCGCTTTTCAGTTTTGTTTTTTTTTCCCTAGATTTTGCTCAAATCTTATCGTTTGACACCGTGCCGTCCAATTCACGAGACTAGTTTCTGCGTATCTTTTCATTTACCTATCAGTGACTATAAACATTAAAATTTGTTTGTATGTATGTAGATATTAAATACTGTATCGTTATACTTAAAAAGCTTTTGTAATTATTTCAACGACTGATATAAATGAACTCACGTGCACGTCACGCCGTGATAAATGCTGAGGTCCCACTATTGTAATCGCACAGATAAATACTAAAAAAAATATTTCTGCGATCTTTACGTTTTAAGTTGATTTCCATTTTCCTCCAGTCATTGGGTGGCAGTAAACTTTTATTGAGTGCAATTTCTAATCTTTTATTAGAATATACAAAAATTAAAGAAGTCAACTTGAATACATATAACAACAATAAGTTGTTACAATGCATTGACGGTGCTCTTACTTTTTATTTGTTCATTCTCTTTTTGGCTGTGTGGGCATTTAAACTTACTAATATTTAGATTTTGTTCGTATGTATGACACTTTGACGTAGTGAGATATACAAGGAGCGTTCCAAAGTAAACAAGACTTTTTGAATCTAGTGCCCCATGGTGGCGTCATTTATATGTCGACTAGTGCGTTAGAATCTGCTATCCTTATCGATTGTACAGTGAGAATTTCATGACATTTCACCTATTTTAAAAAAAGTCACTGCGTTTTCAGTGTCAGTATGCTAATGTTATCGGTGCGAAGATGAGCATTGAACAAAGGCCAACATTAAATTTTGTTTTAAAATTGGTAAAACTTTTACCGAAATGTTTCAATTGATGAAACAAGGTTATGGCGATGATTGCGTATCSCGTAGCAGAGTGCACGAGTGGYTTTAACGTCATGTCGTAAGAACATAAATGACGAKCAACATGTGGGCCAATCAAAATCCGTGATCACCGGAAATTCGATCGAAACTGTACATGAGTTCATCAAAAATCAGACGAAATCATCATCATTGAAATGAAATTGAACATCTCCAAAACATCGATTTGTCGCATTTTGGCCGAATATTTGTGCTTACCTAAGGTGTGTACACGATTTGTTCCGCACAAATTGACTGATCACCAAAAATTGCTCAGAATCCAACATTCAAATGTCGATTATTTGACTGAAAATTACATTTTAACCATTAACTATTCACCTGATATGGCACCGTGCGACTTCTTCCTTTTCGGAAAAACGCATTTGCGCATGAAAGGAAAGCATTATGTAGCCGTAGAGGCCATTCAAAAGGTTTGCACCGGCGTACTGGCGACCATATCGGCCAACGACTAAAACACTCGTTCGACATGCTTTTGTACCATGCAAAAAGCTGTATTGAAGCAGAAGGAGATTATTTTGAATGAAATAAATTGATTTGGACAAAAAAACCATTTGTTCTGTTTCTTTTTAAGTCCTGTTTACTTTGGAACGCACCTTGTACTATATCCACACGGAAAATCATTAGATTTGTTAACCTAAGGTTTTTGAAACTTCTTAAGTGGTTATATCTACTTGTGAGTTTCAAAAAATCCAATGTACATATACAGGTATTAGAAAATATTCATCGAAATTTTCAAGTTGATCCGTCAATTGTTTTATTCCAAGAGTTTACACGGATTTTTCGCAGATATATTTCGAAGGTAATGTTCGAAGTTCAGGTACTGGGTCCATGAGTAGTGGTGATCCTTTAGGATGCCTGCGCTTGACGCGAATTTTAGCAGAAACTGTGCCCTCACTATCGATGCTTCTTCCAGTATATCATACCGTGGGACCCCAGTTGCTGTCTGCGTAGTCTTGCCAATGCGAGACAATTTTTCCCTGGTGCCTTGCTCTAGGTGTTGACTAAAGTCTTCTCGATCTGAGAATCTGAATCTGAGGTGATTTCGAGCAGATAAACTTTTGCATTAGCCATTTGAGGATATAAATTAGTTGAAATATTTGAAATATGAGCGACCTGACTGAACTTGGAATCTCCAAGGACTGGCGAGCAGTTGTAAAATTCGGCTACACTGTCTCAACTACGGTATCTACGGCTGGCCTTCCAATTACATATGGTAGCAGTATTGGCTGAAATCGGTCCATACCTTCCTAAACTTCTCATAGCACTTTCACGATTTATGTCTGTTCGTCTGGTTTACTTTATACCGCTTACTTAGGTCAAAATGTGAGGTTATAGTACATATTAAAATTAAGAAACATTAAGAAGATTTCAATTTAATTTTATTAAGTACACTTAGCATCTATGCTTAGGTTTATTTTATTGGCCTATAATGATTACTTTTTAGTACCATTATAAAAATTTGTTTCAAAGAAACTATGAAGCTCTYGTTACACTTCGCTGCTTTTCTAGAGACGAACTGTTTGGCCTTGAAAATATTCCGTTATGTTTAAAAATTTCCATTTGTATATTCAAGAGGGAGTAATAACATATCTAAAAGTACAAACAGAGGATTATAAACGTCAATTTCTAAGTAAACACGACAATAAAATAAAATTTGAAATTTTACCGATCTATTCGCTCC